TATCTTTAGAAACTTTATTTCCTGTTTGCAGAGTTGATGCAGTAACTGGAGTGAGTCAGCTCTGCAACCATCCTCTGTTTCTGCTGCTACTAAAATGTCATCTACATAGACAAGATCATGGCTTTCACATTTGGGGACAAAATCATCCAGGCATGCCAGAATAGCTTGGGTAAAAATAGCAGGGCTGTCCGCAAAGCCCTGAGGAAGTCTGGTATATGTATACTTTCTACCCTCAAATGTGAAAGCAAACCAATATTGAGAGTCAGGATGAATTGGTACTGAGAAAAAAGCATTACTTAAATCAGTAACTGAAAAATACTTGTTTTCAGGGCTTAAAGTGTTTAACAGAGTGTCCGGATCAGGAACATTAGGGGCTCTTGTCTTTACAGCTTGATTTACAGCTCACAGGTCCTGAATCATTCTCCAATCTTTTTTATTAGCCTTTTGGACTGGAAAGATGGGAATATTGCATGGGGAATCAGGGCATGGTCTGATTACACGTGCTTCCTTCTTTAGAGGGTACTGCTCTTGCGATAGTTCAATAAACTCCATGTGCATCTTTTGAAATGGAAATTTGGGTGGAGGAAACTGTCCTCTTTTAGGTCTCAGGTCTCAAACTTTTTGGCAAGACAGGTTTGTCCCAAACTTGGTAAATTCCACTGTCTGTTTTATTAGCTCCTTGTTTGATCCAATAATTTTGTTCTGCTAGTGGGGCTTGCTCTTGTCTGCTCCTTAAATCTTCAGAATCTATGGGAGATTTATCATCCTCATCTTGTGAAACATATATATCAGACATACCAAACACCCCTGATGCTGCCTGTTTAGCGGTTTCATCTGCAAGTCTGTTACCACAGGAAACCGCATCCTTTACTTTTTTGTGTGCTGCACATTTACACAAGACCATGTTTTGTGGTAGTAATATAGCTTGGAGAAGCTGCTACAGTAAACTGGCATGTATTATTGTTTTGCCTGTCTCATGGACATTTAGATTTAAAAGATAATTAATGGATACATTTGGTATTGTGTGTAAACATTGGCATGGGTTGCAAGTTAGTTTACAGTTTGACCTATTCAAGCAGAGATAATTATATTAACCTAGCTCCTATGGGGTGAAAGGGATACATTGTTAGTTTTATAAATTAAAATATATAAGTCCAGGACCTGGTACAGAGTATTTTTGTGGCTTTTGAGTTTTTGGGGTTTGGAAGGAGTGTTTTTCTTCGTTTTGATTTAGTCCAAAGGCTGACTTCTGGCTGTTAGCATGGCAACTTAAATCTGCACAAATCATTGCAGTGACCTTGCACAAGCCTGCTACTGATTTTTTTTTACTGCCATTGTTAGTGCTGAGCTAAGCCATGATGTTAAGAGCTGAAAGCTAGCCACTGGATTTACAGGCATAAAACCGAAATTGATCATGTTTTTCAATCATGTAAGCACATGTAAGCACATGTAATCAAGTGTTGTGCCTGAACGCGTTCAGGCACAACACTTGATTCAGGTCAGAGAGCTCTGCCTGTTTCAG